AAAACAATTTAAATAATTATAAAATAAATAAATAAAAATAAATTGAAATTTTTATTATAATAAATAAGAGTAAATAAAGTTAAAAATTTGATTTTATATAAAATTCATTGGTGAAAACTAGAAATAGAATAAATTGGTTAATATAAATTAAATATAATTAAATTAGTTGAAATACATAAAAATTAAATTAACGAAGTTAAAATATATTAAAAACTAGATTAGAGTAAACCTAAATATAAAAGAAGACAAACGAAATGAAAATACATTTAAAATAATAATAAAAGAGAATAAAATATTAAATTTAATTTGATCAAAATTAAGGAAATAAAACGTATACATTTAAATTAACTATGTTAAAACATAGTAAAAAGTGTATATAAAATATACCAAATTATTTTAAATTAATACAAACAAAAATTAAATTGATTAAAGTACATATTAAAAGTAAAAGTGTATAATTAAAAAAAAATAATAAATAATTTACATGTATTAACATAAAATGGATTAAAAAAATTATTTTAAATTTATAATCAAATTATTTTTGTAAATCAAAAGCAAAAAAATTAATTAACATATATTAAATGAAAGTAAATTTAATTACTGTATTACTGCGCTATTTTTAAGAAAAACATTTTTTTGATATACATTAAAAGGCAAAACCATTCTTTATAATCCAGTAAACTTTTAAGGATTGTGTGAAAAAATTAGTTTATATAATTTATGAAAACGAAATTTCTAACCAAGTCATATGAAAATCAATGAGCAAAAATTGCGAAATAATAAAGTGCAAGCTTTTTATTATTCCTATTTGCCTTTTTTACTGCAAAAAGTTTTTAAATTTTATTTTTAAACAATCTACATATTTCATATTCATTTTGAAAACTTTGTGGTTTTTCGGTGGATATCCCTATATTGGCATTCCGATTGTGCTCTCTTTTTTTTTTGTGGCAATGTAATCACAACTTTTGCACCTTTTTCCCATCTATACACCCAATATTATGCAATATTTTACATTTTCCTCATTTTTTAATGCTACGCTATTGGTTTTGTGTTTGAAATTTTTCGGTTTAGTTCTATTTAATTTGTTGCTTTGTGGTCAATGTGGTTGGAATTTGCAATTTTATCGACCACTTTTTTACATATATATATACTGATGTGTATGTGTCACATTCTAATGCATTTTTATATCTTAACTACAGTTGGGTGTATATATATGTACATTAGGGTGTCCGCTATTCATTATATAACATGCGATTTTTTGATATTTTGAAGAAGATTTTTTTTGAAGATTTTAAAAAAGTAAATCTAATACAAAAATTTCCGCTTTACAAAAAAGGTTACAATAATATTTTTCGTAAAATCATTGCTTTAAAAGTTATACGTAGTTGTATTATACATGAAATGACCTGAGCCTTCATACAAGTGATTTATACACTCTGAGTTGCTCATACGACATGGTGCACTATATGAATAGTACACTACATTTGATGCATAACTTTAACTGCGTATAACTTTTAAAGGAATGTTTGTATAAAAAAAATCCTTAAGACCTTTTTATAGAGCGGAAAATTTATTATTTGCGCATTGTTTTTCCAAATTTGTAGACTTATTTACTTTGGCGTTAAAAAATTTATTGTAAAAGATCAAAAGAACCCATGTTGAATATACGGGAAAAGTAAAATGATTTAAGTAAAAATACTTTTTTTCAGCGCCAAAAACGAAATGTCAGCGGTCCGACACCCTAATGTTCATATAAAAATGTTTGTATGTAAATGTAGTTATGTACTTTTACATAAAATATTTTATCAGTGAGTAGTTTGTTATTTGTTGGCAATGCAACTGAGCAGAAAATATATCCGAATATATTCGAAAATAAATTAATTTAATTGCTGTTCGCATATATTTCGATGAACTTGTTATTTAGATTTTGAGAGGATTTAAAATAGATTTAGCTTAAAAATCTAAATAAATTCTAAAATATTAAAATCTGAAATTTTTGCTGATTATGGCGCTTATTGGCTAAGTTTCCGAAGCTGCTATTAGATAATTAGCGAAAGAAGGAAAGCGAAAGGATTCTCGCAGAAGCAATTTTCGCCATACAAAATCAAAGTTCATAGAAAATATAAATCTACTATCTTTTAATTGAAAGTTAAATCCGCCTGTATTTTTTGATTTGAAGACGTACCTACGTTCGGAATAAGAGCAGCGCTGCAATATCCGAACAAATTGTTTATATCAAAATATTGTTTCTTTTTAGAAAATTTTGCTGAGTTGTCAGATCCTGGTCGAATAAAAATTCTTACCCGTTCCGAGACTGACCTTAAGCCCAAATGTCAAGGGAACCAATTACAACAGCTTGGCATTGTTGCGTGTCTCAGGCTGAGTCAGTCGTTAATAGGGGCCGGTTAGAGTCAGTTGTTATATTCGAATATTTTGCTTCAACTGAAATTTATAATATTGTATTTTGTCTTTGCTGATAGAGACATGAATGTTATTTCAATATTGTTCCTTATAAAAAGCTTAAAATTAAGAAATTTATCTAATGGCTCTACTGATGTACGAAAAGTGGTGGTCTTTAAAATTCTCTTTGATTTTATGGGCAGAAATTTTACGATATATATACATCTTCTAGATAAAAATAAAAACTCAAAAGCTAGGTTATGTGAATATTTCACCTCAATTTTGCGGTTATGTGACAAAAGTCAATATAGAAAGTTATATGTCTTTTCATTACCTATAACAAGGCCATATAACTTTTTTCTATAGGACTCGTAGTTTTGTGGGAAATCGAGCACAACCGTTTTTGGCCTCTAAAAAATCCACCCGCTCCTCCCCTTCTTTTTTCCGACCACAGATCGCCCTTAAATTATTTTGCCACTAATGTTTGTTCTTTTATCTTTCATTTTCGATGGGTTGCAATCTACTCTGCGTTTCTTTCTTTTTTATCATTTTCAAAGTCTTCTGCCCTAGTCTATTAGATATGTTCAGAAATTAGAATTTTATTATCTATTAGGTGTAATTTAATAGATATGTTCAGGAAATGAGTAAATAAGGATAAAAATTAACTAATAAAAGATATTTTTGTGCACCACTTGCAAGAATATGCGAATGTGATATGAAATATGTTAAATGCAGAAATTTGTCCGACTCGAATTGTCGAACTCGCGTCGCCCGTGTGAACGCAATGTGCGACACCAAAAGAGCATTTGCCGATAATGAGCAAAAAAAAGAGTCCTAGTCTGAACGTAGTCTATAAAAAAAGAATCGATAAATTTTTTTTTCCTAAGTTCGTACGACCTTTTTAACTTTAACTTTGGTGTAACATTTGTTCCCCTTATCTCAATTAGTGTGTGTTTAGCAGATGCTTGTTTACGACGCGAAAAGTTTATTTTTAAATTTTTACCATGAAAAAAAATTGAACAACGAGTTTTCCTGTAATTTTTCATTTCCAATGTAATCACGGCTATGAATTCGTTGTAAATGTTGCAGAAGTGTTTTGGTTGAGTCTACTTAATCACTAACACAAGTATTTGAGTGACTCAAAATATACAGTGAAGGCCATGAAGTCATCAAAAACTTGTCTCATGCGAAACGTTCAACCATCTCTGTTAATGACGATAACATCGAAAAATTTAAAGAAACAGTGCTTAAAATTCGTCGTATGGTCATTAGAGCGGTAGCTGAGGATCTTAAGATCTCCTATGGATCGACTCAATACATTTTGGTTAATGTTTTGGGTATGAAGCGAGTTAATGCTAAATTAGTACCAAAATACCTCACTCTTTCGCAAAAATGTCGTAGAGTAAAGGTCGCAAAAGATATTCTTGGCAACATCGCAGAGTACCCTACATTCAACGCGCCGCTACTGGTGGTGGCGAAACGTGGTTTATGAATATGAGGTCGATATTAACGCTCCAAAATTGAGCCGAAAAAAATTTTTGTATTCGCTGAAGGCACTAAAGTTGGGGTGGCCTAGGCTATTAATAAGTGTATAAAAAGTTGGATTAAGCGTTGGCATGCTAGCATTGGCTCAGGTACATACTTTGAAAGCAATAATAAAGATTTGTATTAAAATACAAAGAAATATAGTTTTTTTGGCAGTCTTGCACAATTTTTTCAAAAGCTCAAGTCTGCTATGTTACTTTGTTTGCGGTCAGTTCGGATTAAAAAAACTTCTTTCTAATAACGATCATTGTCGTCGTTTTTTCTCCCCTCTTTCTCATTTCACTCCTTTCTAAGTATAACAGTATAACTTAATGCTAACGAACCTAACATCAGATTAAACACAAAAGAAGATATTCGTACAAATAGATCTTGCATTGTATGGTTACTACTTTAGCTGTCTAGAAATTAGCGAAATGGTAGAACAGAGAGAATTGGAGAGAATTAATAGGTTACTTTTTTCTTATCGGTAGTGTTTTTTTTTGACAGTTATATTTAGCAATTATTATTATATTTATTTATTTTTTCAAAAATATTTATGTGTGCAAATATATTTGCACTTTTTTACTTTGTATAGCTATGTTTTGAACAACTAATATTTGCTTTTTAAAATATATGTAAGAAACATATTTGATTAGTAGCATAATATCCAACGCTCCGCTTATCCGCTTTGCAAGGTTTGGCAGGTATACCCCGGAGCTAGGGTGGTAGCGTCTGCTGGATTTTGACTACACCATCGCAGCCAGAACAGATAATGCAGCTCAATATTTCTAGAATAGCAAACCCTTTAGAAGGTGTCTACGCTGATGATAAAACTGTAATATGGATATTTGTGAGGGAGATTTAGGGAGTACATTAATTTAAAAAATTCGTGAGCTCTGAACTCAAGCCAGTTAGCAGAAATTCAATATATTTTCGTACAAAACGATCGTTTCTTAGTAAAGGCGATTTATTTATAAAAAGAAACTACTGATAACAAGTTTTCATCATTATTGTGAAAAAGGGAACCCACATAGATATTTATATTTAAAAATCAATTAAATTTCCGGCTCACTCACCTCATACTCTTCGTCTCGCACAAGTGTAGCTCACCAAAAACGCCACAACCCAATTTCTCCACTATCACCAATGATTGTCGCGGAAACTCTTGAACTTGAAAATTAGCCAGCTCTTCGTTAACATCGACACTGGCGAGACCAGCCAGGCCATTTCCACTCATGTCCAGATTGTAATGATGCGGTTTAACAGCAGCTAAAGTACCGGCTGAGCTCGCATAACCATAACCGCCACCCGTTGGCGTTGTTGAGCTCGATGCCAGACTGGCCGTTGTAGAGGCGAGACTGCCGCTACCGCCACCAATGCTGCCATTGGGTAATGTATTGCAAGCACCAGCATTTGTGCCCACACCACCGACTGCACCGCCGCCCATGCCATGCGTGGCATTTGTGGCGGCATTTGCTTTGCAAATCGCTGTGGTTGCATAGTATTTCTCATTACTACTGGCGTTGCCCAATAATGGCGGTAGGGGTGGTATTGGTGGTGGGCAGTGTGTAGTTGCAGTTGCCGAGGTGGGTGCCGGCGGCGGTGGTGGTGGTGGCGTTAGTTGTGACTGATATGAATGTTGATGTTGTAATTGTTGTAGTTTTTGACTGGCGGTCGACAATTTCGATTGAAACATGCTGTTGAGTGTGTTGCGTGCGCTTGTGCTGTAGTTGCTGCTACTGCCACCACCAGCGCCCATGCTGGCGCCATATAAGGAGTTGGATTTTTGTGTGCTCGTTGGCAGTAGGTCTTGCATATGTGGTACGGCGTACTCCTGGCAGACAATATCGGGAACGTCTGGAAGTACCGAAAGAAGTTATGTAAATAAGAAAGCTTAATTACAAAAAAGGATGCTACAAATATAGAAGAGGTTAAAGAGACGTTGGAGATGCATAGGTTTCGCATCGCATGAAGATATGTTCACAGAAGGTATTGGGAAAGACGAGAAACTCAATTGCTGAATATCATTGAAAAAGACGGTCTTGAATGGTTTGAATCATTCGATTGACCAAAAAATGAGGTTTATCGAGATAGCAGGCATTCTAATACTAGGGGAATTTGCCAATAAAAAAATACTTTTATTTAAAACTTTTACTCATAAATTCGGTAAGTTAGTTGTTGGCTCAGCTTAATATATACTACCATATATACTTGTATACATATATTAAGATTTAAGTTTTCTTCCTCGAAACTCCTGGTAAATCCTTCCTGAAGGTGCCGACTAGTAATAGGTAGCTAGATAGGAATTTGAAGAATGCACTGTGACCTGTGATCTATGTCTTGTGCCTTCTCCATATAACACTTTGTTTAACCCAGTCAAATCAAAGAGGTTTAATAAAGCTCCTTGGTTAATGGTTGTAATGTGTTCTCACACCAGATTTAATTGCTCGACAGCTGACTCCATCTTCTTGTGGTTGCGGGGCAATTCAGGAGTATGAGTTGTGGTGTCTCGGCTCTTTGGATCCGTGGAGTAATACCCTAACCTAAGCCAATTGCTTGCGCGAAAGCGATTGTACCCCATTTCAAGCTTGAACCGCCAGAAGCGGAAGCTAAAAGGCAGGAGACAGCTGAAGAGCCTAAGCCGTCAGCAGAAAGGCCGACGACAAAGGGTGACACTCGTAAAATTGTTTGCTGAACGTATTATTATTGGCTAGTTAGATGAGGCTGATCCCCAAGGAAAATTTTCCAGAGCCTAATGCAAGAGGATGCACGCTGCGCTGACAGACGTCACGCCATTGTCATGCACAGATGCTGATTAGTAGCAGGGCCAATGATTGCTCCACCGAAATGTTATAAAATACTTACTACCTTTAAGTAGGTAGGTAGAGTGGCTGCCTGACGATCCACCTAGGCCTTAGGTGGCCGATGGTAAAAAAAAACTTGAACTAAAAACCCCTTATTCTATTGTCTCCCTTCTAAAACACATCGTGTTCTTGACGAAATTCATCAGTTCAAAATGTTTTATCTGTGGAAACTCCGACATATTGTCAAGAATCCCTCAACCGACAGTTGCGGTTCTTTTCCTGTGAAGAGCCTTGCATTCGCATAGAAGATCTTTTTCTACCTCCTGACAGCTTCTACAATAGTAATTATATGGTGTTTCTAGTGTGCTGGCATGTCTGCCAATTTGAGATAGATGATAGAGTTCTTATGTCATTGCTTTTGAATTTTAATAGTCGGCATGTGCATCTCATATTCCATTCATACCACGTTCGCCTGCTTGTTGAGCAAGTTAAGGATTGACTCACCGAGACTCAGCTATAAAATATTAATTTGATTGATTAAATATCTACAAGTAGGCAGAGGCATAAAAATTGCCTCTTTTCCAGAGTGAATTTGTGGGTTGGTGGTTAATTCAACTGCTGTACAGTTACTAGGATTATCACGATGTCCTCATAGCAGGTTTATCGTGAAATAGGATTTTAAATTCACTAAGAAATCAATATAAAGATATCTTAGATGAAATCTTAAGAGACTTTAGTGACTTAAAAACCGCTTGGTCAACTGCATATATCTATAAACATATTCCTTATTGTGAGCACACTCCTTATCAGAACACGTAAGATTTTTTTAAATTCTGTGATCTCCGCTTCGAAGACACTGCTAAAGTATGGTAGACGGAAGGCAATACTGATAACTTATCTTACTGAAAAGATACCACCTCAAACCCGACTATGTAGTTTGGACTCATCCATATAGATGCAAATCCCTGCGTCTCTGCCCATCTCGTCTCTTTCCCACTCTTCTCTTAAAGAGTAGATAAAGTTTGGGACCGAATTTAAGTTCAATTCTATAGGCTTACAAAAATCCGTGCTATTGGATAGAATAAGGTACTTATTAAGTATCTTAGAATACCTTATTACAGGCAACCTTTATGGAGTATTCCCTACGTCTAAGAGCTGACTTCGCTGTTGCTTACAGAACAAGTCTGTTACCAATAAATGTAAAATGACGTTTAGTGCCAGACTTGGCGTTGTTTTAATGTATGCTTTCCTTACGCTTTATTCCGTATATCTTTTCCTTTATTGACCACCATACTAATACACCGTATGTCATAATTGGCCTTGCAACTGCTGTGTAAAGCCAATGAGTTAACCGAGGCGTTGATCCCCATTTCGACCCCAAATCCTTTTACAGGTGTTAAGTGCTGAAGCTGCTTTCTTCACCCTAACGTATAAGTTTGGTTTCCATCAAAGTTTTCTGTCCAAAATTATTTCCAAGTAGCTTGCCTTATCTCCTATTGTTGGTCTGGTACCATTTAATAATGGCGGCATAACTACTGAAGTTCTGTGTTTCCTACTGAATTAGCTTTGTCTTGTTAGCATTTAAGTTTAGTTCACATGATACGGCCCAACGATTTATGTCATTCAATATTGTTTGCATAAGGTTAGCGAGGGTATTCGGGAATTTACCTCCAACCGAAACCGCTACATCAGCAGCGTAAGCCACAACATGTACCCCCTTTTTTTCTCGACCTAACAACAATTTATACATTTTTAAGATTCAGATTCTCTTTGCTTAGGTCTGCACATTATTGGAGCTGCCAGCGTTGATTATTGATCTGCCTATGAGCTTCAGTTTAATTAATTTCCCGAGAGTTTCAGAGATGCGCAAATCTTTAAGCGCGCTTAGTATGGCTGGATATTATTACAAACGCCTTTTACAATATATCTAGGAAGGCTACAAGGGTGTATTCTTTTACCTCCAGAGATTTTGCAATCTCTGCTACCATTGAGCTTAGTGCTGTTTCTGTGGATTTTCCCTTAGAATATGCATGCTGCGAAACTGTAAGTGTTTCTGGGTTTAATTAATCTCTTATGTGTTTACGTTTTTCTATATGTCCTTCCAACGCTTTTAGGAGAAATGAGGAAAGACTAAGTGGTCTGAAATCCTTTGGACTTGTATGTGAGCTTTTGTCCAGCTTTGGTATATATTGTACATTACTTTGACTAACTATAGCATATAGCTTAATTGCAGCGTCCCTGTATGACCGGTTGCTAATCAGACTTTTATGTAGCTCTGGGACTGTTGTAATTGAGCTGAGATTAAACCGTAAGGTCCCGGCGATTTGAAGAGCTTGAAACTGGTGAATGTTGTCGAACTTTTTAATTTACTTCATTTATTTACATCTAACCCTTTTTTATAACCTGAACAGAGTATATTATGTTTGTAATAGCCAAAAGGAAACGTAAGAGATTCTATAAAATATACATATAAATGATCAGCGTGACGAGCAAGGACGATTTAGCCATGTCTGTCTGTCCGTCCGTCTGTATACAAGTATATAGGAACCAGTCCCTCAGTTCTTCAGATATCGATATGAAATTTTATATCCGTCCTTTTCTCACCAAGAAGTTGCACATTTGTCGGAACGTCCGATATCGGACAACTATAGCATATAGGTGCCATACAAACTGAACGATCGGAATCGAGTGTTTTTCAAGGAAAACTTTTTCATTTTACGACATATATTTTCAAAATTTGGCACGAGCAATGATGCAATCTCCTAAAAAATTGTTCAGATCGAGTCACTATAGCATAAAGCTGCCATTCAAACTATCCTATCAATGTTCTTGTGTCTTTGTGAAATGTATTTTAGCTTCGGTGCAACCGAAGTTTGCGTTTTTTCTTGTTTCTCTTGTTTTAGAATTAACAACAAAAATAAGTGTATTAGAAAATTTATGGAAATTCTAATAAATATAAACATGAATTTATGCATTAGCTTTAAAAAAATATAGGAATTCAGTTTTTTGCATACGAAAGCGGTTGCCACACTAAACATTTTATATTTTAATTTTCAGCGAAGCCGCCGAAATGTATTTTGCACGCGTATTTGTTAAAAATAAAATATAGTTTATGTATATTCATATAGCGAAATAATATAAACTACTCAAAACAAGTTGCATGTAAGCTATGAAAATATATCCCTGCCACATATTGTTGGCCAATAGAGTTTAGAGTGCAATTTAAATTCCATTTCAGCTGACATTTTCAGGATTTGCATGTGTGCACGCGAATATAAACAAGCAATCGCACGAATACAAGCAAGAATAAGTGCGAAGAGAAAGATGTTAAAGTATGTACACACGTATAGATGTATGCATGTATTTGGGTGCATATAAATTCATGCCACATACGCACGCACGTGTACACTTTGAAAACAAATCAACACGCAAACATAAAAATCAAAACTTTCCACAACAACAGCATTTCGCTTGCATTTACAAGCGCTTTACTGCATGCACCACACATGCATATATATGTTTGTGTTGCACATATAAATACAAACTGTTTGTGTAACTGCGTGGGGATATTTGGGGCGCGTGAGCGCTACAAAATCCTTAAATTCAATTACCATTCAAAACTTGGCGCCACAGAAACATGCATTGCTGCAAAATAAAATCACTTGCATTTATATGCGGCACGTTCGCAAGAACAACAACCGGCAAACTGCAATAATCACAAGCAACAACAATAACAACAGCAATCATTTTCTCACTTTCTGTGAAAACGCAATTTCTTAGTGGTGGCATGCTCCACTAACAGACCTATTCTGCTTGTTTTCGCACACGCCCATACACACATATGCATTGGAGTACTTGTTTGTCGCTCATACGACATGGCACACCACTGCATACCCAGTGGAAGGTAGTATTGTAGTTTCAGTGGTGTTGAAGTTGTGATTTTAGAATGTATTGTGGTCCTGTTTCTTGCTAGAAGTAATAATCATATATACACATATATACATATATTAATTATTGTATTAAGAGAGAATGTGACTTAAGAGGTTATATCCGCTTGCAAGTCAGAAAAACTGCTTTTTTACATTCTCTTCTTTTTTCTTTAATAGGCATTTAATTTCATTGCATAAAAAAATATTAATTTACAAAACCTTAAGCACTTGAATAATCAGCGATTAATTTTGAAACTTTTTAATTCCCTGCATCCCGTAGTCGATCTCCAGAAGACCTCCAAAAGAAGTGTCTGGTGGAGGGGAAGATTTTGCTGTTTAAAACTAACTTTAATCCAAAATCAAAGAAATTTAATATTAATACTGATGAATACGGCTACTGATCGAAGTACTAGTCAAAATTTTTAATTTTTGACAAAATGGCGGCTTCTCAAATATAAGTCGTTTTATGTGAAAAAATTTACATTTCGAAGTGGCTATAAAAATCGAAATTATTGTCAAAGTCATATTCCTTCGATCATTAAAAATTCGAGCCGATCAGTACAGTCGCTTCGGAAAAAGTTTACTCATCGACTGTTAAGTTAAAAGTTATCACAAATAAGCTCATATGTTATCACTGAAGCTATTTGACGCATAAACTTAAAATTTTCGGAGATAATTCCCAAATATATGTACATTCGATATATATGCAAAAATGATTATAAATTATTTGAAATTCACAAGTGGATATAGCCCTCTACTTGCTTTCTAATATGCGACTAATATTTTATTTTATCGAAAATTACGGTGAAAATTTGGTCAATATTATCTTTTAAGAATTTTGTATACCTGGACTAAAGAGGACCTACAACAATGATTTCACCATAAAATAAAATAAAAAACAAATTGACCTAATGATTTTAATTTGTTCATTAAAATTGTTGGAGTTTTTATAGAGGGCTTTTCGATACTTACACAATATTACTCATGGTACTACCTTTGATAATTGCCAAATTCTTACACATTGACACTTACGGGTTGGTTAAAAAGTTTCGGCGTTCGAAATGAAAAAATACTGTTTTTGGTACGAAATATATTTTTTTATTCAATATAATCTTCCTTAACTTCAATGATCCTCCAATAATCTTATGTCATCTCTATAATGACTTTCCGAAGGCTCTGCAAAATACCTGTCTACGGCTATAATAGCTCTTTTTACGACGTAAAACGTTTTCCACGAAAGAATTGTTTCAGGTTTCTGGAGAAGAAGTAGTAGTCGCTGAGGCCAAATCTGGTGAATAAGTTGGATGCTCAAGCAATTTGTGATTTAATCCGGCCATATGGGAGCAGCTCATAGTGGATGATTCCCTTCCAATCCCACCAAACACACAGCAAAACCTTCCTGGCCGTCAATCCCGGCTTGGCCACTGTTTGGGACGATTCACCGGCCTTCGACCACGACCGTTTTCGCTTGATATTGTCGTATGTGATCCATTTTTCGTCGCCAGTCACCATCCGCTTCAAGAATAGGACGAGTTCGTTCCGTTTCAGCAGCATATCGCAGGCGTTGATTCGGTCCAGAAGGTTTTTTTGCGTCAAATTATGCGGCACCCAAACATCAAACTTTTTTTTGTATCCAGCCTTCTGCAGATGGTTCAAAATGGTTTGGTGACTAACTCCCATCTCCTGGGCGATGTCACGAGATGCCATATGCCGGTCTAACTCGTATGCCGTCGAAACCATTCCTCCGCGGTTCGAAGTGATAGAGTACCATCCTCCAAAACATCATTAATCTCACGGAACGTTTCTCTAGCGGATTTGCCTTTAACGAAGGAAAACTTTAAAATAGCGCGAATTTCGGCGTTAGTGAACTCCATGTTTACACGTCTATAACTGTTGAACGCAATATCCAAACTAAACATGCATAGCGTTGTTTTGTAGGTTATGTCAAGACCTTTCAAATTATGTATAGTGTTGCCAGATACGAGCTCTGTAGCGCTTTGTACATAGCCGCGAAATTCAAAAGACAAAAAAGCGGAAGGGAGATATATGACAACCTTATATGTACTCTGACGTCACAATCAAACAATATAAACGCCTTCCACTCTTAACTATTTTCTTCATGACAAGTGACCAGTTTTATATATTTTAGCAGGACTGTATGTTGCTAAAAGGGAACAAAAGAGCAGATAAACCTTTCGAAATTGAGATCAATAACAGACCTCTTTTAAATACCTTCTTTATTCTTCAATAATGGTTTAAATTCTGCACTGAGCTATAAAGATGTAGTCAGTCAGAGTGAGAGCTCAGTGGAAGGTTTAAGCTAAATGAAAGAAAAGTTACTGATATCTCAAAAGAGAAGTGAAACAAAACATGGAAAAACGTTAACTTCGATTGCTCTTAAACTATAATACCATTCACAAATAAAAAAAAGTTTTCTGTCA